TAATTTAGTAAAGTTAGAGTGAAGAAAAAGCACATCAAAATCTATAATTTTTTTCAGGTTATCTGTTGCCGCATCATAAATTATTGTCGTTTTAAACATTTAACATTATTCGAAGCACCACATCTTTGGACTCCAAATTAATATTCTTTATTCAATATGTCGGCATTTTATTACTGAAGAAAGATTGATATCTTATCTTATAGTCACAGTTAAAGCTACAGTTTATTTACGAATGGTGAGAATTGAAGCGAGTTGAGATTAATTGAACGATTTGAGTGCCGTAACTGGTAAATACAGACGTCATGGGCTTAGTTACCGGATCTTAGAAGGATAGTTCTTGTTTTTTAGTTAATGCTCGTCGGCCCAATGGATGCCAATTGGGCAGCCCAGTAACAATTGAGTCCTTTAGAGTATCCAATAATGTATCTACAAAAAAAGAAAAGAATGTCCAATTATGTCATTTCCTGTACTTTATAAGCACTTGAGAGCTCAGGATTCCATTAGGGTCTCTTTCAAAATGCCAAAAGTTGAGTGATTCATTTATTTTCAGTCACAACCAGATTCTTCCCCTCCCCACTCTCATTCGACGAATAAAAGAGATAATATCTTGGAAAATGCTTAAAATTATGCTGATTTTTCTACTAATATCTTATGTTGATTACGTAGAACAGTCTAATGAGATCTGTAGAGAAAGATTATACTGAGTCAAAAGAATAAAAAGAAATTACAGAGCATGAGAGAAGTGTTGTGATAATGGTGAAATGTTGTATAGACCTTATGGTTTATATTCATTTACATCGTTTCTTTTCCAAACACTTGCACAAAATTATTGTCAAAATTGAAGTAGATCAATATATAAATAAGAGTAGATTAAAAAAATTAAACCATAATCTGGTGGTCCGAATTGCTACAGAAACTCCACATCTTTTCCCATATGCAAATTTCGTCTTTGTACCGTGTGGAATAATCTCTAATTAGTCTGCGCAAAAGTTTGACTAATTAACATAGGTTTAGCTCATCTTGTGCGTTGACACCCAAAAAAAAAAAACCAAGCAACTCTATCACTTTTTCAGGTTTATAGATTTTAACTAGGCTTTCGTTGCTTAGCCCAAACAAAACTCCGACACTAAAAAGTCTCTTTTGTCCTTATAACGTGCAATAAACGCTTAATTAGTTCTATCAAACACAACTGGGCCATTAACGACTTGTTTGGACTAACATTTTTAAAAATAAATTTTATTTAACTGATTTTTGCAAATTAAAATTGAAATAAAACCTGATTAATATAATGTAATCTATGTTTAAATAGGTTTTCGTAAAAAAATATATATATCAGTTGAACATAAACTAATTCGAATGACACAAGAAAAAAAAAATCAGAAATCAGAAAAAATTGCTTCAATTTTATGATTTTTTTGGCCCAAAAATCTTTTTTTTTCTTTCCAAAAGCTATCTGAAGCCTACATTTTCATTCAATTCACTTTTTTTTTATTCCAATTGATTTTTAAGCCTTCCTAGTTATATTCCAAACACACATTAAAATGTTCAATAATAATGTTATCCTGTGACAGAGAAGTAATTATATTCCAAACACCACAGCTTTCCAAGTCTATAGTCAAGTCAACATATATAGCATAACGCAAAATTATTGATATTAACGATCTTCAGCTTTTTTAAGTTTATGGACATTGTCATTATTAATATCACTTCAGTGAAAATGTGAGTCTCTTTTTGCAGCAAACAAACAGGTCTGTTCAAATTCTTAATTTCGTTTCAGATTCATTTATTTTGAGAGGCACAATTAATATTACTTTATGAACAAATCTTGACTTGAGTGAAGTGAGTGATTTTGGCAACTCTAAGATGTGGCTGCAGTTGATGATGTGACATTTCTTATGACTATAACCTTTCTCTGTCTGCTTCTCCTTCCAACCATTCTTCTTCTGTTGTCACCCTTAATCTCTTTGTTAATAACCTGAACTCATCAACATTTTAATAGCCCTTCAACTCCAGTTCTAGTCCTCAACAGCTATATCTGTAAAATTGCAATTTTTCATCTCATAATCTTCACTTTCTATCTTCTCATTTTCATTTTCCTTCCCTCATTGTCCTTGATCTCTCCTATAATAACTTGACATCAACAATGACCTTTAACTTTAGCTCAAATCTTCAAGAGCTTTATGTGATAAACCGTAGCCTTTTCATCAAATAATCTTATCTTTACATCTTTCAATGCCAACCTTTCCTCTCTTGTCCATCTTTATCTCTATGATAATCATTTGACATCATCAACCATATTCTATTGGATTTCCATCTTCACCTTCGATCTTCATGAACTACACCTCAGTGATAACTTGTTTAGTGGTTCCATTCTATACATTTCTGTTGTCACAATTTGCGCACAATCTAATATATTAAAACCAGATCCATTACTAGAAAGAATTGGGGTTGTAAGGATATCAAATTAGTTAAGGGAGAATTGCAATCAAATTCTAAAGAAGAAACTTAATTACTAAAAAATTCTAATAATAACCTAAGCAACATATAATGACAAGTTTTAGAGTAGAAACTGACAACTTCTAATTTGTCATTGAAACTTGTTGATAGTTATTTTTCTTTCTTGGAACCTCATTATAATTCTCTCATTAATTAATTATATACATGGCGCCTCAATTTACCCGCGAAGCTTTGTTGCCACTGATCCTGGGACCATGCGAGGGAACAAGATCCTCGATCATACGGGAAATTTTGATTCCCCTATAATGCGACTTGGTTGTTTGTAGGTAATAATTTCCCTTGTCAAAAAATTTGGCCATTTTGTGGGAAGCATCTTAGAATAATACTACCTCCAATCTTTAACGAATTAGTTTGACATTTAATTTTGTCTTGAATAAAAAACTTCAATCTAATCTACTTTAGTTATTATTTTGTGGGAAGCATCTTAGAATAATACTACCTCCAATTTTTGAGAGGTCTTAATCAAGTGTTTTGAAACGCGCAAGTATGCATAATAAAAGTTGACACTTGAGAGCCACTAGCAGAGAAAAACGTGACAACAACCAGATCGAATTGCTACGAAATTCTCATAACAAAGAATGATATGCGATACTTCACCTGAAAAAACTTTGACAAACGCAGGGGGGATGGCAGGGGAGGTGATTTTGTTGCCTTTTGTTGATCTCCATTTGAAGAGTTCGCTGCCATTGTCCAAACCTCTAAAATTTGATTCCTGCACGAATTTGCGAGAAGTCAATTCCTTACACTCGTTATATCTGAGTATTTCGACACAAACATCAAACGGATCGTGAAAATTTTAACGAGTCAATCGACTGACTTAAAACAATTCAACGCAGAGTTAATGGCTCAGATATGTGAAGAGCGACTTCGGCGACAAGCAGAATAAGAGAAAGAGAGGGCTGGTGATAGACCTCGTCTGGCGTTTAAGCAAAGGTCAACCTAAATCCCCAACCACAGTTGTGATCCAAACAACCATGACCAGCGATACATTATACAGAATAAGAGTTATCCGGAAAATTAAACGTCTCCCAACAAACGCTGAACTAATTTGGAAAAGCTACCCGAAAAATGAAGAATTAACTTAACCCCCTGTTTGAATGGGAAGAAAGTTGAGAGGAAAGAAAATGAGAGGAGAGAAAATGGAGAGAAGAAAAAATTAGAGAGAAAACAGAAAGGAAAAAAAAAGAGTAAATATATGAATGACTAAAATACCCTTTCTGTTATATCAAAATATATCTTGATTAAAATCAAATTAAATATCATAATGAAAAACCATATTTACATTAAAAAATCATATAATTTAAAATCAAATTATTTGATAAAGATATATTATCATGTTATTATATTTTAATATCAAATAATTTTGTAAAAAAAGAAAAAAAATAACATTTTGGGTAATGTAATGCTAAAAAAACCAAAACAACAACTCTACTTGTTTTTCCTTTCAATTCATTTTAGAAAGATTTTTGCAATTTTAGTTATTTTATTTTTCAATCAAGCAAACATAGAAGAAAGACTTGACAATAATAAATAAAGTGAAAAAATAAAAAGGTATTATTTTGCTAAAAAAACATGTAAGGGTAGAGAGGCAAAATATGTTTTCTTCTCATTTTCTCTCCATATATGGAGAGAAAAGTTGGGAAGAAAATAGGATGTGGGACCCACCTTATTTTCTCCCCAATTTTTCTTTCTTCCCACTTGTCTTCCCTCATGCAAACAGGGAAAAAACCACTTCTCTCCTTATTTTTCTTCTTAGTTTTCCTTCCTCCCTTCTTTTCTCTCCATCCAAACATAGTATAAGACTTTGGAGGCTTTGAATTCATGAAAAGCAGAAGACCATTACCATGAAAGTGGCAACGACAAACAGCCAAAAAAGGAATGAGATGTTACTTCGACAAATGATGACAATGGTGATTAATCTAGTGGTTCTACACATAAAAAGTAAATTGGTTGTTAGAATTTTATGTTAAATCAGGTGACCCCAAACAACTAGATGCAGAGTCAATAATGGCTCAGGAATAGTGAAGAACAAATTAAGAAACAGGAAGAAGAAATTTCAAACCAGCATTTGACCATCCTAGTGATAAATCTTTGATCCCCTTGGGCACAGTCTATTACCTATTTGGTTGGGTGCAGATAGGGGTGTTCATAGTTGACCCGTCTCGGTTGACCCGTCCCGATCCCGGTCTTATTGGAACGGGACAGATCCGTCCCGAAATTTTTTGGAACGGGACAAATCGGGATGGGACAAAAATATGTTCGGTACAGGACGGGACACGGGACAGGGTCGTCCCGTCCCGGTATGTATATTTTTTTTTAATTCTTATATTTTATTTATATTATCAGTTTCTATTAATATTATTATATGTTAAAATGTAAAAACTAAAAAGAAATGAAATACGAAGCGGAAGCCCTCAGCCTCAGGCGCCAGTAAGCCCTGTCTGAACTGAAACTTTGAATGTCTGATTGTCTCTACTCTCTAGCGGCGCAGCCTCTCTCGGTCTCTCCAATCTCCAGTTTTCAATTTTCACTTCCATTCCCTTCAGATTTCAGACAACGACGGCCAACGGAGTAGTGAAGCGTGGCTGGTCGCAATCTCACAAGTCGCCTCTCAATCTCCGCTCTCGGCTATTCTGTCATCTGCAAAGTGCGAAAGAGGCCGTCGCCGTCGGAGAGCAGTGCTCACTGCTCAGTGCTCACTCACTCTGCCTCTCTCGTCTTGGCTTCAGCTCTTCACTCACGGAGTCACGGTCCCACTCTCCAGTTCTAGCCTCCATTGAAGTCGCAAGCTTCGTAGCTTCTCTCCAGCCCAGTCGGCCAGTCCATCGTCGGCGTCAGTCTTTGCTGTAGAGTGTAGATTGCAGACGCCAGACAGACCTCATCTCATCTCCAACCTCAATTTCTGCTTTCTCTGTTTCTCGTGAGTTTTCACCGTGTTTCTTGATTTTGGGGTCTTTAAAAATCCCTTTTAATCTTGTTGATTTCATCTTAATATCCAGCATGATATTTTGCCTATTTGTAATTTTGTATGAATATGATGGACTATGGATTGGCCGATTGGGATCTGTCTGATTTGCCTTATTCTTGGTTGTTGAATTCTTTTATAATTTGTTCTGTGAATTGGACCCAATCTGATTTGCCTCATTCTTGGTTGTTGAATTCTTTTATAATTTGTTTTGTGAATTGGACTAGCTAGTTCTGTGAATTTTCTTGGTTGTTGAATTCTTTTATAATTTGTACGTATCATTCTCTGGTTGATGGTTTGTGAAGTAGTAATATATATAATTGTAGATTCAGTTCAGTGTTTGATTCTATTAAAACTGTACGAAAATTTTACTATCTATTCTTGAAAGCTAATTGAGCCTTTATGATCATTTTGAAGAACTTCTCTTTGTGAAGAAACATGAACTCCGTCACAAACACCACTGAAGGAAACACTCAAGCGACTGAAGAAAATACTCAAACACAGTCACAAACTACTGAAAGAGCTTCAGGACAAGCAGATAATGAAGATCAAATTACTACATCACAAGGTGAAGAAGAGGGGGATGAATCAAATGTTGATGGATCAAGAAAGAGAAAAAAATCTCTAGCTTGGTTACATTTTGAGAAATTGCCTCCAGAGCAGTGGAAAAATAGAGAACCAAGGGCAAAGTGCAAGTATTGCCCAATGACAATTGCCTGCCACCCTACCGCACACGGGACAGGTGGACTTGTTAAACATTTACAGAGGTGTCCTAGAAATCCCCACAGGGCTAACAAGCTAAAGCAATGCATGTTCTCAACAGGGGCTAGTGGTAAAAGTTTGACTCATCATGTCTTTAGGCAAGACTTTTGCAGGAGAGCTCTAGTCAAATTTTTAGTATTGGAAGAACAGCCTTTTCGAATAGTGGAGGGTGAAGGTTTTAAAGAGCTGTTAAGGGCACTAGAACCTCATTTTCAAATTCCCTCAAGAGCAACAGTAACTAGGGATTGTTTGAAGCTATATTATGAAGAAGCAAGAAGGTTGAAAAGGTATTTTAAAACTTTAAATGCTCGTGTTTCTCTTACCACTGATACATGGACTTCTAATCAGAATACCAACTATATGTGTCTAACTGCTCACTGGATTGATGATCATTGGGCTTACCAGACGCGAATCTTGAATTTTTGTGTGGTTGAAAACCATAAAGGTGATACTATTGCAGCAGAGATTGAGAGATGCTTGTTATTCTGGGGCATTGATAAGTTGTTTACTATAACAGTGGATAATGCTTCTTCAAATGACATTGCAATATCAACTTTGAAAGATGTGTTGAAACATTGGAATGGTCTAGTTTGCAATGGGGAGTTCTTACACTTGCGTTGTTGTGCACATATTCTGAATCTTATTGTTTCTGATGGTGTAAAGGAGATGCATAGGTGTATTGAAGCAATTTGAAATGCCATTAAATATGTAAGATCCTCACCTGCAAGGTTTCGTAAGTTTAAGGATCTAGTGGAAAAAATGAAAATTGATTCGAAGAGTCTATTAAGCATGGATTGCCTAACAAGGTGGAATTCAACCTACATGATGCTGGAAAATGCTATTAAATTTAGTAGTGTTTTTGAAAGAATGGCAAAAGAAGATAGGGATTACACAAACCACTTCTTGGAGAAGAATTTAATTGGTCCTCCTGATGCATATGATTTGAGACAAGCTAAAGTTTTCTATAGCTTCTTGCAAGAGTTTCATGACATCACATTGCAATTTTCTGGATCAACCACTGTCACCTCAAATATATGCTTTCAAAATATAGTTGATGTGTTTACTATTCTAAATGAACATGTAGAGGATCCTAATTCTTTGCTATGTGAGATGGCTATGAGGATGAAGATTAAGTATGATAAGTATTGGGGTGACTTGCAAACTCTTAATCCTCTTTTGGTGATAGCAATGGTACTTGACCCCAGGTATAAAATGAAATACCTCACCTTTGCCGTTGAGGAGATGTTTCAAAGCCAAGCACAACGTGAACACATGTTAAAAATAGTCTCAACCGTCTTGTATCAGTTGTATGATTGTTATTCGGGTGGGCTTGACACATCTCAGTTTCATATGCAAATTCAAGGACAAAGGAATAGACAAGCTATAAGTGAAACTACTAGTGCATCTACCTGTGCTTCAGAACAATCAGGCTCAACTATAACTTCTGTGCATCATAAGCGATCAACTCAAAGGTTTGTTGCCCGATTTGAGACTGAGACTCAATCAGATAAGTATGCAGAGGTGGAGAAGTATTTGCAAGCTGAGTTAGTTGAAGCACATGAGCTTGACTTTGATATTTTGGCCTGGTGGAACCTTAATGCTATGAAGTACAGAGTCCTTTCAATGATTGCACGTGATGTTTTAGCCATGCCCGTGTCTACCGTGTCTTTAGAATCTGTATTTAGCACGGGGGGTCGTGTGATTGATGACTTTAGGAGTTCTTTATCCCCAAAAATGGTTGAGGCATTAATTTGTACACAGAATTGGCTATCTCCATCAAGAGTGAAGCTGAAAGGACTAGACATTGATGACTTCAATGAAACTGAGATTGCGGCACATGGTAATATCTATCTTTTAGTAGCATTTGATTGAAGCCAAAAATTTTTTAACATTTCATATAATTCCTCATCAAACATGTTTAGTCTTGGACTTGATGCCAATTGCGAATCTGTTAAGTGTTAATTCTATAATTTATCAGGGTCTGGGTTTGGTCGCTGCATGCTTAATCATGTTTGTTAATACTTGAAGATTATCTAGATTACTAGGCATCTAAACGTTCTGTGCAGTTTTCCTTTTAAACATTTTCTAAGCATAAGGCCCTTTCGAGTAGTATTTTATTACAATATCACTGCTAAATCAATTTAGCATCACATTAAATTTTTTTAAAAGTTCTTTTCCACGTTAATTTTTGTTAAAGGACTTGAAAATTAATATTTGAAGATTTTTTCTTAGTTTTCTCCATACACAAATTCTGGAAAATTTTGAACAACGAAGAAATGTTGTCCTCCCAATGCGTGAGCAAAGTTGTTGATAATCATAGTAAATTTTATTTGTGGTCCAAGGCTATTTATTTGAAGATATATGATCACACACCTCTGATCAATAGCGAAGCAGGTAGAACATGAATTCATGTCTACTTCGTTTGTTTTGAAGAAAAGAATTGGTACTATGAGTTTTCAACGTACTGGGGAGGAGGGGATGGTGGTTTCAATATTTCTACTTGAATAGGACAATCCTTCCTTTATGCTTTTGATGCATGTATTGAAAGGCCTATATATCATCAATGTGGCCGTCTCCTTTGCGCACTTGTTATATTTGGATGCCTTCTCAAGTCAGTGGCACTGGTTGAATAATTGAATGGTTTTCCAAATCCAGGCATTCCTTCATTTATTTTATTTTCATAATTTGTTATGGACAGTTTTAAAATTCCTTTTTTATCTGATTTATTAACTTCATATTAACATTTAACAATTTTTCTTTCCTTGTCTTCATTTGTAGAAGAATCAGCTGCCTCAAATTTATTGGATGAAGAGGAGCAACGAAATAAGTGAATGACCAGTAAATGTTGGATTGTGTGCTGCTGTGCTGGATGGATTTGGTTCTGTTATTTTTTGGCTTATTTTCTGGACAAGTGTTTTTGATGTAGTGTGGTCATTTCTCATTTGGTGATGGACTTATTGCTTCCTTGGACATTTGGACTGTTTGTTAAGTTTCTTTACGGTTTAAGACCATTTTCCAGTGAAGGGATTTAGTTCTGTTTGTTATTTTCTGGCTTAGTTGTTTTCGTGCTGTCCCATTTATTAAATACTTGAATTATTATCATGATGTTGCTGGGTAGTAGTTTATTTTTTAGTGTATCTTCACAGCATTTTAAAGAGGCCCACAGCATTTTAAGGCCCATATCATTTAAAATTCCCTATTAAAAGGCCCACAGCATTTTAAAATGGCCCACAACATTTTTTAAAAGGCCCACAGCGTTTCCAGAAGCCCCTCAGCATTTTTTCAAAAAAAAAAAACAGAGTACCAGGACGTCCCGGTCCCGTCCCGTCCCGATCGGGACCGGGACAACATCGGGACGGGACGGGACGGGACGGGACACGGGACAAATTTCTCGTCCCGTTACTATTCATCGGGACCGGGACCGGGACGGGTCTGTCCCGGTCCCGTCCCGTCCCGTAAACAGCCCTAGGTGCAGAAGATAAGTGCAGCATTTTGGAAAGATAATTTAAGGAGAAAGAGTAACGAGGATTGAGATCCGGAGAAGGGCAGATTGAGAAGTCATAACACGCTTAGGGACCGATTAAATTTAAGGATTGTAGAAAGCTGATTCTGTTGGAGGGACGAGGGTTGCTTGAATTAATGAATTCGAGTCTCCGGTCTCTTATCGCTCTACAGAAACAGACTAACACGACTACATGTGCCGCTACTGCGTGGGTTGTGTTGAACGTTGCCTTCCTGATGGCTGCCACGTCATTTGGATAAGACCTCACTGTGCTAATTTAATAAATTATTTTACTACCTTTTGTCATTAATATAAAATCTAATTAACTAATATGAGTAAATTAAGTAAATTAATTAAGTTATTTATTTAAAATAAATAGGTGTTATTTTTTTTAAAATATCTTTACTAGTTAAGTATATTGGTTATAACAACCATTATTACAAGAATTATCTTGAAAAAGAATGAATAAATGTGAGAGACAAATTAGATTGGAATATTATATTTAATACCAAAATAAAAAGTCAAGCAAACTTTTATATTAAGAACTTTAAATAATATTAAATTCTGTACACATACCCTTGCAACTTTTAAATTATTAATTAATAATTAATTGGAAAAGTA